GGGGCAGGCTGACTGCCCCAGCACTGAGCCTTGACACCTCTCCTACCTCTTGGTGTTGGGTACGTAGCGTGTACAAGCAGTGCCGTCCCAGGCGCAGTATGGGTCCCGGGCCAGGCAGCACTCGGCACAGGCTTTGCCGTAGGCACCACAGCGATGCAGGGGCAGCTGGGCCAGCGCTGTGGCTGAGCCAGCATACAGCTGTTGCTGTGGGGGAGGAAGGCAGGGCTGAACACCACCACACCGCAGCACGGGACCGGGCAAAGCCACAGCAAGACATGGGGACCCACCCAGGGTCCCCGCTTACCCGCTTGGAGGAGAGCTGCAGGCTGGTGATGGAGGCGGCGTCCTGTGGACAGTAGTTAGGGTGTGGGGGGGAACCCAGGCATTCAGGTGTCCCAGGACGACCCAGAGCACGAGCAGCACAAGGGGGTCCTGGGGGTGGGGTCTGGTGAGTTCCCCTCTTACCTGGAAGACCTGCAGCTCCTCCAGCAGCAGTGGCTCCATGCGGTGCCAGCTCTCCTTGGGCACTGAGACGACCTTCAGCACTGTGCCCACGTCTGCGGGCAGGGAGGGGTGAGGCCAGGGGTCCCGGCATCCCCCAGCTTTTCTCCTCCACCCTGGCCCTGGGGTCACCACTTGCCTGTGCCAATGAAGAGGACATCATAGTGGCCATCAGCGGCACTGACACGGTCCACGGCAATGCGAGTGAAGGTGTAGGGCACGGCGGCTTGCAGGAAGAGGGGGCGCTGGCCATGGGGCAGCACTGGGTTGTACATCAGCGGGTGGTGCCGGGCAAACTGGATCACCTCGTCTGGGAAGTCCTTGGTGGAGCCGAAAGTGCCAAAGGTTTTGCTGGGGCACTGCGGGGAGGTGGTGCTGACTGAGTGGGTTCTCGTTTCCTACCTACCCCGGATACCAGCATCCCACTGGCAGCACCAGCCAGGACACCCCTGCGCCACGTACCATGCCTGGGCGGGGGTAGGGTACGCGCCCCTGGTATGGCACCCACTGGTAGTTGGGGCCCTCCTTGTGTGCAAAGGGGCCCAGGAAAGCCCGGCGGATGTCAGCCATGGTGTAGACACAGATGGCTGAACCCTGGAAAACGGAGCTGGCAGGAGAGAGAGGGGGCGATGTGAGGGGCAAGGGAGGCACCACCAGGCACAGAGTGGGGTGGTGGGAAGGGAGCTCAACCTGGAGGTGGAGAAGACAGCGTAGACCAGGGGGTTGTGCTTGTCCCTTGTCTGCAGCAGGAAAACGTCCCCTGCAAGAAGGGAGGGCATCAGTGCCACCCTGATGTGCCAAGGATGCCCACGGCCACCCCAGGGGGCAACCCTCGCCCTGTACTCACGGAGCTCATCAAAGACGGTGTCTGCCCCGTCGGGCCCCAGCACGGCACAGATGAGCCGAGCCTTCAGGAAAGTGGTCCACTTGTTCACCAGGCTGCGCTGCCCGCCCACGTCATTCTGTGGGGAGAGGGAGGGCATCAGTGTCAGCAGCGGTGGGTGGCACCTGAGGTCACCCTCGTCCCCCAGCCCACCCGCCCGTGGGTGCTCTCACCCGGCAGATCTGGCCGATGCGGGCGAAGCTGGTCTTGCCCAACCCCTGCTGCCGCTCCACTGCCGTCTCACGGAAGAAGAAGTAGATCTTGTCGTCATCGGGGTCCTCACTCTCCGGCACCCAAAAAACGGCCACGAACTTGGGCTCTGGGGGCAGAGGGGTGCCATCTCCAGTGCCCCCGCATGCTCTGCTCCCTAGGGACTGTGGGGCACCTGCTGGGGTCCCAGGAGGGTGCAGACCCCCCCTTTCTGGCTGCAGGTCACAGGCAGAGTGAGGGTGGGACCCCACCAGGCACTGGAGGTCTCTGGGGGGCACAGGGATCCCCCTGAATCATCCTCTGCAGGCAGCAGAGGATAGGGTGCAGCTGAGCCTGGAGGATTCGTTGCCCCAGTGTCACCATGGGAGCAGCAATGGGTGCCAGCAGCCCCACCACCCTCCTGCTCCCCAGCACTGACCGTTGAGCCAGCGAGAGTCGTGCTGCTCGGTGCGGATGGAGGGGCGCTGGCCCAGGCTGCGGAAGATGGTAAAGTCACGGCCCATCAGATCAGTGGCCACCCCGGAGTAGAGCTCCTTGCCTGGCAGGCACCGAGGGAAGTGTTACGGGGGACCTCTCAGCATCCCCCCCCACCATGGCTGCCCCTGGCACCAGGCTCGGCTCTCCCTTACCCACGAGGACTGAGGCGGCCGCGTGCCGGGGGTCGTAGGGGCTCTTCCCCTTGCCATCCTCAGTGTGCTGGGAGTCCAGCTTGAAGATGGGCTCCTGGAGGGGGGTAAGGACGGGAAGCGGGTGGGTGATGGCAGCCGGGGGCTGTGGCAGTGCTGCAGGTGGGGGGGCTCACCTCCGCGTGCTGGCCGGCCTCCACAAAGGTGCAGACGGGGTGGAAGGCGCCGGTGCCGCAGGCGTACAGGTGGGTCCGGTTGTAGG